ATTTACTCAATTAGTACTAATTATGTCTAAGATAATTGGATTTTACAAAATTTGAAAAATACGATTTATTTTAACGAGTATTCTTGATTCACCCCACTCAGAGCTATGTGTTTTCTTGAATCGTTCCACGTGGAGCGGATGGGCGTCCCACGTGGAAGCTGTGGGGCGAGCCAGTAAAACCACTGAAAGTCCAATACTTTAAAACATTTTAAGCTTATTTTTATCACAAGTGTATCAGTGAGAGTCTTGCCTATATGACTACCCACGCACGCAAAAAGATCTCTAAGATTAAGAAAGGTATTCAACAAATACCGGCATGATCGCGAAATTGTTCTTGATTCGCCCCACACCACTGAAAAATATTTGCCTTAATTTAAAAATAGATTCCATAAGGATTTTGAAGACATCAGAAAATTCACCGGAAAATTCAGCACCTTTTTATATATTTTTCGAAATTTTACAGTTAAATCTTCTAAAAAGCTTTCTCTGTGCAAAAAACTGAAAGAACCTCACTTTTGAACGTGTTTTTCACAGACTTTAGTTTTTGGCTATAAAAGCAGTAAAACGTTCTGAATCCAGAGTTTTATTCTTAGTATTTTACACAGAATTAAACTCTGCATCTATTGATACATAAACAAAATTTCTCAATTGAAACCATTAAATAAAAGAATTAATTCAATTAGAAAAAATTGAAAATCTGGTTGTGAGCTAATTATAAGTGCAGCTGGTGTAGCAGAAACATTGTATGAAGTTGTAAAGAAGTGAGATCGATAGAGCACAACATTCTGTATCTATCTGCGCAGATAAGTTAACTATTGAACCTCAGATAATGAGCTAAAAATCCCAAAAAAAGGAGACGACAAAAGCTTGTCGCAATTTGACAACTCAGCACCTTTTTTTCACCAATATTTTCAATGATCTTCCAACGAGAAAAATGTTATCAGAGATTCAAATAGCAGGTTTTGTAGAGAATTCAATTCTCTATCGATTGAGCTTAGAACAAATTCTTAGAACTACTGAGCAGTGCCTCGAAAACAACGAATGAAAGTGTTCGATTTTATCTGAGTCACCCGATATATTTATGATTGAAAACAAAAATTATGTATTCATTTTAGGGTATTTAAATATGTCAACATATTCAGAAATCGATGATGATCAATTTTGTCAAATATGTACGGATAAAGCGAGTGGTTGGCATTGTGGTGCAATAACATGTGAAGCTTGTAAAAAATTTTTTCTTCGTACAATAAATGCCGAAAATAAATATAAATGTCAGCATGACAAATGTTGTATAATAAATCGACATTCACGAACACAATGTCAGTATTGTCGATATCAAAAATGTTTAAAATTTGGTATGAAGCCTAATAATGAAAAAACGTATACAAAAACCGAAGATTTATATAAAACATTACCGTGTATTATTTGTTCATCATCATCATCTGGACTTCACTTTGGTGCAATTACATGCGAAGCATGTAAATGTTTTTTTCGACGATCAATTAAAGAGAACGCCATTGAACATTATCATTGTTCAGCAAATGATTGCTGTAAAATAGATTCAAAATTAAAAATGAATTGTCGAGCATGTCGATTTCGAAAATGTATTGATGGTGGAATGTCAGTGGGTGCAAGTCGAATTGGACGTCAATCAAATTTATTTAAACATAGTCTTATAACTATACAAGAGAAACGTCCCGATAGTAAAATGGCATCTATTGATGATAGTGCACGAGTGGCTATAATAGCTAAAAAACGAAAAATAAAATATGTTAGATCATTTTCATCACCGAATGAAATTGCCATTAAATTACCTGAAGAAATGAAAATTTATATTGAAAATGTACGCATAGCCTATTGTAATCATTTAAAAGAATTACCATATTGTTTACCACGAGAAACAGTTTGGTTAACAATAGGACATCAATTGGTTCTCTATGCCGAATGTTTAATTCATTTTTGTCAAAAAACTATTACCAATTTCAATAATTTATCAGATCCGTATGAAATAATTAGTTCATCAATTCATACTGTTATTATTATTACATTAATGTTAACATCACGTCCAAAAAATAAATTAATAATTGGTTGGAATTATTGGAAAACAGATAAAACTTTAGCCGATGTTCTATACTCATATATTCCATACATGTCTGAAGCTGAAAATTTTTATCGATCAAATGAAACTGAATTAAGAAATTTTCAATTTGATGAAAATGAAATATCTCTCGTAATTCTCATATGTTTAACTAGAATAAATTTTTTAAATTCTGATAAAAATTCAACATGGTCAAAATGTCAATTCGATTGTGTAGAAGCACTAAGTGAATATATGCAAGCGAGACGAGGAATATGTGATCAATTACCATTTGAATTTTATGATGTGTCATTTTTAATTACACAAATTCGATCATTAAATAAAAATATTGTTCAATGTTTAACCACAGCACCATGGCCAAAAAATTTACCATTCTATTTTTATCGAATATATGTTCCAAATATAGAAAAAAAACAAATAAATTCAAATGAAGTAACAGATCAGGATACGACCATTTCAATCTAGTATGGTAGTTCACCATCTATAGACCAAAGAGGTTTTTTCTTTACGATGAGCGGTTACATTGTGAAAAGTTGTTTTTCAAATGTATTATTTCGTGATTTACGAGTAGTCTTTATTCTCGTCCAAGATATGTCTTCTCAATGAAATATAGATTGTAATATATCATTCTATATTCTTTTAAATACTTCTGTATATATTCGCTAATCTACTGAGTGAGAAGAGTATTACATTCAATCAAGAGTATTACATTTTCTTCTATTTTATACTGTCTCGAAATACTCTGACTAGATGCAGATGCATCATTGTGTTTTCAGGAAAATTTGCATTTCGTTCACAACTCGATTTGAATATTGTATCATTCTCTTCAAGTTGCTGTCAATCTTTTTTTCACTACAATTATGTACATATTAACGGCACATTAAAAAATAAAAGCATCAGATTTAATCATTTCGCTACCCATTTGTATTGGATGCGTGCGTTTGGTAACTATTTAGTTATGTTCTACATCTATATATAAAACAGAAGATTGATATTACATAAAATTCTAGGTCAATTGCTTTTAAAAATTTTTTCATTGTTATCTGTTAGCACACTGAATGTTTATTAATTAATTTTTTTTTTCATTAAATTTTTAACAGCTAACACTGTTTATTATCAGTGGTAGTAGTATTTTAATGTGTTAATTATCAAAATTTAAAAAATATGAATTTTCCAAATATAGTTTATGCAGATTTTGATTTTAAAACAATGGATATTGGTGGATTTGACAATGAATTTAAGGTAATATTTTTGTCGTACATTTACATCGTGAGTATTTCCATTAGAAATTGTTTATCTACTTGGTAATAAATAGAATGAAAATGAATAAGTATGTGAACACTGACATTGTTCTCTGTTTTAGATATGAAACATTGTCGTGGCATTCTGTTGTACAGGAAAAACTCTTATGGCTCGGTAAAATACAGAACATGATAATTTAAACTTTACCTTTACATTTATTTTCTTTCTTTCGTCAATAGGCAAATTGGTAAAATGTTAAATGCACGTGAATTGAAAATTGTCAATGGATCACAAATTTTGGATAAATATGTTAACGAGTCAGAAGTAAATATTCGAAAGTTATTTGGGGACGTAGAAGATGAAGAAAAAATGTGTAAGTGACTACGAATTATCGCGATATGGTACTGAAAGATTACATAGATTTGTTTATTTTAGCTTGGAGCAAACAGTGGTTGAAATATAATTATATTCGATGAAATTGATGTTATTTGCACAAGCCATACTGGAGGTGTACATGACACAGTTGTAAATCAATTATTATCAAAAATTGATGGTGTCGATCAATTAAACAATATTCTTTTTTATTGGTAAATAATTGTATATTAAGTTACAGGAAATTTCTTAAGTTATTGTTATTATTTTGTTTAGGTATGACGAATCGTTGAAATATCATTGATGAAGCATTGTTACGTCTTGGTCAACTGCAAGTCTAAATAGAAATTGGTATGATATTCTTTGTTAAAGGATGCCTGGTAGTTTAGACGAAAAGGTTGCTTAAGAAAGTTTGTTGCTTTGTCAATCTGTGATAAGTGTATCAACGAGTCACTCTATCTTTTTGATTTTGTTTATAGGTTTATCGGATAAATATGATCGTTTACAAATATTAAATATACATACTGTAGTTAGTTATGCGTCAAAATTAACCGATGATGTTGTTTTGTAAAAATTTAGTAAAATTGATCAGAAATTTTAGTGAAACAGAAATTTGAAGGTCTCGTTCGTGTAGCTATGTCATTTTCAATGAATAGACATGTCAAAGTAAGTTGTGTGTATTTGATAATTAAAAAATAATAAATTTTCATTGTTTTATTTCAAACTACAAATGAATTGTTTTTTTTTACACATTTTAGGCTACACCAAAATTGCAAAATGTTAACAATTAAAAATAATATTTGAAGATGCTCATAAATCGGCATTGTCATGTGTTGTCGTTGATGAAGTGTAAACTTTTCTCTAATACGCACCAGTTGGCTCACGTTATTTAAATACTATACTATAAACATTAAAATTATTATTTAAACGTAGATTTAGTACAATCATTTAGTAAAAAATCATACATATATCAAATATGAGTAGTGGAAAACATGTACTTCAATTGATCATTCATTTACTGATGAGGAAATAAAACATTTAAACAAACGTCTTATGAATAAAAACGTAAGTAAGACTGAAATTATTTGAAGAATAAAAATTATACGATCATTTGTAGACATTATTTACTTTTTATTCCAGAATATTCATTGGTATTAAAACATTATTAGATTTAATCGAAGTAGTGTAAGACAAGCCGATGATAAATATCATGTGACAAGATTTCTTGCTACACTTGAAGAAGCGAGCGGTATGGTATGAAGTGAAAGTGGATAGTTAGGACCATAGACATTTTCTGAAGTTTTATGCGGTGCTTTTTTCTTTTATATCTCAGTGCAATCATTTACAATTCTAAAAAAGTATTTTTTTCATTTATTTTTATATTTCCTTTTGATGTTATTTAACTCTGAGAATTATTAATTAAATCTGGACGATTAATCTTATTTATTTCACCGCTTTGACAAAGTGCTTCGATATTTAGACTTTTTCTACTGTATCATAATCCCATTTTGATTTTCTTTAGTTGTCTCTATTGATCAACGATAATTTGAATACAATTTGAAAATGAGCTTGAATCCTGTCCTATGATTAATATTTTCCCGTTAGGTAAGGAACAAAAGTTGCTTTTGTTGTCCTTTATTCTCGTTCTAGTAATATACTTTAATCGTAGTAGAAAATAAAAGGAGAACATCTGTATGATCGTATCCTTGATATGCACTGTGATAAATGGTTTAATAGTTCTAACTTCAGTTCAGGATACACTACTATTTCATGAACATTATCAGATCAATACTCCTATGCATTTGAATATTATATACACACATTTTTTATGCTAAAACACCATTATATTTTTTTCTTACCTTGATCACTTTTTTTTTTTTCTAATGCTCATATGCATTTTCTCTTATTCTTTCTCGTCTCCGATCTTTTTTTGTATGAACTACAGTATAGAAAGACGTCATTTGCACAAGAACAGTTTACCATAGTGTTATAAATTATCTTGTTTTTTTCTATTCTTCTTTCGTTGTAGAAATAAATCTAGTCAAAATAATTAATTATATTTATATATTAATATTTTGCTCTGTGTTTTGTTTTTTTCCTGATTAAAATGTGCAAGAGAACTCGTTTATTTTTTTAATGTCTTACTACATATATATGTATATATACTATAGAACATGTGCATTGAAAATCAGTAACAATTCCTGTCATTATGTATATTTCTAAAAACTAAGGTAACTACGTAGATAGGAGTTAATCCGTAGATTTAAGATTTTTATTGAGTTATATAAGCCTTAAGTATTTGATGTGAAGAATCGGAAAAACGTCAAATGGAACGTTCGTCACCAATACTTTCATTATTAACTAAAATCTTGTCTGACTTTTGTCAACTGACCAAAGTCCATCTTATGTTAGTTAATTGACAAAAGTGTAGTAGAACTTTCGACAATTGGCGAAAGTTCACCCGTAGAAATGTATCTTTCTCACTTTCATATTACAATATATCTGAAATTATCCAAAATATCTGAGCCAAAACAGGCAAGAAACTAAGGAAAAATACAATTTACATATAGGAGACGAAAAGAAAAAGCGCAATGACAAAATATCCGCTTTCTATAGAACGAACGATGACAAAATGAGGTAACATAGAATAAACAAAAGAAAGAAACGAAAAAAAAGTCTAAGATGACATAGAGAAATAACAACTTAATAATAACACGTAATATCAAAACAGTTTCTGATAGTCGTAATTAGAACATTAACCGATACTTTTGTCACTGACAAAAGTCCAACAAAACTTTCTTTATCTGATCAAAGTAAGAAGGATTTTCGTCAATGACGAAAGTAGAGATGCCCAAATATTCTAGTTGACTTTTTTCGAGTAACTCTTTGGTCTCATTCATTTTCCATTTCTAATTGATTAATCTTGATGATATGTTTTATTTTAATAATTTTTTCTATTCTAAAGTTTTCAGGAGAGTTTTAGTTATGTGTTTATTTTTATTAATGTAGATAATTTTATCTGCACTTTTTCAAAAGTCAGAAATTATTGACAGATAAAATATCTTTTATTGTGTATAGTTAATATTTGTTTCATTTCATTTTTCATTCGTAACTTTTTAGCGAAAATAAAATATTATAGACAAAAGATTTTTTTTGTACTGTAGGAAAGAAAAGATGAAGACTACTCTTTGGTATCGTGTAAAATTCTCTCTCATAGTAGAAGATCATTGCCTTATGTTCGACATGATTAGAAATTTTATCAAAAGAAGAAAAAAAATGAAAAGAATTAGACGAATTTTTACGTTTGAACATTGATATTTTGAACAAGAGTCTCATGATAAAGTACATGTGTGTATACAAATTTAGTAAAAATACTCGACTTGTCGGACACTGAAATAGAGGATCGGATTGTGTTTTCTTCGAGAGAGGGAGAAAGAGATTTGTTGAAACGAGTTTGAAATTTAAAGAATTTAACTTTCTGACCATTTTCAAATACGGATATTATTCTGACGTAGTCAGATTGAAATATATAATTAAAGAAGTATTTACCGTATTCTAGAATCTTGACACAACTTACAATAAAAAACATCTGTCTATTTTGTATGCTGTATGGGGTAAATATTGGCGGTAGACATGCACCAGTTATATAACTGGTATCAGAACATCTAAAAAAATTGTTGTAAGGCGGTTATTAAGAATTGTCCCGAGGTGCAGAACGTCTCATTTCGTAGAGAAATGTTTACTTTACATACTTGTTCAAAGAAAAAAATGTTTAAACTTAATTATGACATAAATATGAACAATCTAGCATACCTTAATTGTACATGATAATTGACCACTAGTTATATAACTGTTCGTGTCATGTCAACAATTTGTTAATAAAAACTTTTCACTTAATTGTTTGATATTAATAATTGATGTAGAAGGTAGACCAAATATTTCTCTACAAAATGAGATATGTCACAAGTCGGGGCAATTCTTTACAACCGTGTTATAAGAATTTTTCGAGATTCTCCAAAAAAAAATAATCAGAAATAACTGGTGCATATCTACAGTAGTTGGAAGAGATGTTTTTGTTTCTTTTTTAATAAAAATATCGTTGAAATTTTTTTTTGATTTGAATAGACGTTTAGTTAATTTATTTTCAATGTTTCTAGACATTATTCATTTTTTTTTCATTTTTGAAAAGAAATTATCTTAAATTTATCTTTAATTGTCTTCACTGTTGTTGTTTTTTGGATCTTGTTTAGCATTGTTTTACCTGTATAAAATAAAATTTGAAAATTGAAACTGAAAACTATTAAAAGAAATTAAAAATTGTTTTTTCAACCGTAAAGTGGTACTTCAAAAAGATGATGACAATGTTTATTTCTAAGAAAATTGAAGTAGAAGTTAACTGTGTCTGTTGTAAAAGATTCATTTTATTCGTAACCTATTTTTTGTTGTTTAAAACTACATGAGTCTGTTTAGTAGATAGAGTAAAATAGAGATTTTTGTTCCGGTTCATCGATCCATGAGCATAGAATAAGAACAAAGAAAATATTTTTTGATCTAGACATAAAGATAATTATTTTTGTAACGGATGAAAAGAAGAAAAAAAAATTTTTTGGGTGTTAGTTTGCATTTGTTTTTCAAAAAAATAACTTTTTCAACATCATAATAAAATAAAGATATAAAAAGTTATTTTTATGATATAAACAAATGATCAATTCTAAATGATTTATCTAAAATAGTTTATTAGAAGCTTAAAGTATTTGTGAAAGTTTTTATATTGATGATATAAGAATTTTTTTGTTAATTATGGATAAATGTCATTTTATTATATTCATTTTTCGTTTTCATTTTAGATACAAGATGTAGAGAGCATCTTTTACTTCTTTAACTACGAGATGAAACGTTTAACGCGACATCGTTCAACAACTATTCCTAATGAGAACGTGAACGTAAGTTCAGTAGCAACAAATAATCAATTTCAAATTTATGATTATGAACAAACATGTCTAAGACAATTAAGAAAACTTGGAATTAGTCAAGATAGAGCGTATGTTAAAAAAAATAAAAAAAAAATACATAAATATTTTCATTTCTAATGTTTTTCAAATATATTATTTTAGAGAAAAAGCATGTGCTGCAACTGGTTATCAATCATTGAAAACCGCATTGGACTGGTAAGTCACAAGGTATGATAAATTTCCTGTCTACTTTATTTAAGACAGGATGATTATTAATCTCTGTACGTATATTTTATTTTAGGTTATATAGACATATAAATGATGCACGCTTAGATCGTCATGATTTATGTAATCATGAATTTATTATCTATTTATGTCCAAATGAACAGCTTAAAGAACAAATTTATACTTATATGAATGAATCATTACAATTATTTGGCTCAAATCAAGCACATAGTGATAAAAATTTAACAGCATTTAAATTATGCACATTTTTTCAAGTACGTAAAATTAATCGTGTATTATACACTGTTTGTCTAAATTGTATTTTTCATCATAATTTTATCTTGTATACTGTTTACATTTTCTTCAATTTGTATTATCATTTTATTCTAATAGGTGCCAGATCGTTATGTTTATCATATTCATAAAACATTTGAGCATATTGTACATCGTTATCGTGAACGTTTTTCATCTCGGCATTTAACGTTGCAATTAATTGGTGAACAACAATTTTTTATGCTATATCCAGACAAAGATAGTGAAAGATTATTGAAAGAAATAATTAACGATATTCAAACAATGCTAAATCAATATGGTACGTGTATAAATTTATAGTTTTTAATCTAAAAAGTTTCTAATTACTATACTCTGTTTCGAGTATATAAACGCAAAAAAAATAAATAACTGACACTGAGAATTCTCAATTGATAATTTGTATCCTTTGTATTTTAGCTCCATCTATTGTTCTTCCATTATATCGTAAACAATTTCATATAACATTAGCATTTGGTATTACTGAAATATCATCAATGGAACGAAAAGTGATGCACGATTTAATTTCTACATGCATTGATTTCGATAGACAAAAACAATATCAATGGGATTTGAGACTTTATTCAAGAGAAATACATTTATCAAATTATGAAAAAGAGGTAGATAGTTTGAAATATTTGATTAACTTTTGTACTATTTTATTATTTTTACTTTTAGGTTTACCGTGTTATTTTACCTATAACATCAACACCATTATCAGCAACATATCCAACGGATTATCTTCGACTCGAACAAGATGATATTTTATTTGTAACTAGACCGGGAAAACAGAGTACAGATGGAAATAATGAACAATTAGCGTATGGTAAGAAATTTATTTTAGTACTTTAGCTCTCACAAAGCTATAGTGATTTTTTTTAGAGAATAAATATGCTAAAGTAGCTTGAGAAATATAATAAAAAAGCTTATTCTTATTGCTTGCTAATAATAATAGTTTTATTTATAACAAGAAAATGGAATGAATGCCATTTTAGAAAAATATATGTTAAAACTGTAAGTTAATATGTGCAATAGTAAAGCTGATACGTACTATAAATTCGAGAATACCTCATTTATAATGAGAAATTAATATGATCTAATGTTGTTGTTTTTTATAAATAAATTGTATATTTTCACCATAAATAAAAGTTTGATATATAAAATGAGAACTATTTCTTCACCAGTATTCATTCCATCATTTAGTGGAAAATAAAGAAAGATGGAATATACTGTCGCTACTTTTTGAACACGCCAAACAAGAAGACTATTATTCGATAATCTTTTTTTTTTTTTGTTAACACTAAAAGTAAATATACATTGTGAAGTGTTTTAGAGAAGATATGTTGCAAAGACGTTTTTGAGTATAAGTATGAATACGAATGCGAAAAAAAAAACTACTCGAGTAATACTTAAGGCATAGATGTAAACGAATAGAAGAATCAAAAACTAATATCTTAATTAGCCACCAAGTTTCTCTACTACTACGTAAATACTTCAATAGTCATCTGTTTTTCTTCTTTTATACCAACAAACTTTTTACAGACACATCTGTTATGTCAATATGAAAATATGGATTTTTAAAATGGTATACTAGAAATACTTGATCTACAAACTATATTCTAGATATATATTATGAGTGTTATTTAAATAACACCTGAACAGTATTGGTACCAGTTTATTTCTCTCATTTTACTGTAATATATATTTCATGATCATTTTTAACCTCGCGTAGTATTTAAAATGGCAATAGGATACAGGTTATTTTTATGCTTATATATATATATATATACATAAATGGAGTAGTAAAGATCATTGAATTAAATTTTTTCTTTCATATTTTTGATGTCTTTTTTTGGTATCTTTTTCTTTGCGCAAAATAAGACAAGAAGAAGAAGAAAAAAAATGACAATTGTTATAGGGCTATTACTGTGAAAGTTAAAAGTTTACTGTAAATGAGAAAAGAAGAGAAAAAGAATATTATGAGAGAATACATTTTCTTTTCCTGTATGTTAGTTACTCTTCTGTACATATATTAGAATATAGTGCAATGATAACGAATTTTCTTTTCTTTCTTCATTTTTTATTAATAAATCAGATATATATATATTGAAAGAAAAAGGAATAATATCTTTTTTTTTTATTTTTGTTTGTTTCTCTTTACAAGGGAAACACGAGTGTACATATTTATTTATTAGTAGTGAGGTACAAAAATGTTAAAGATTCGTTTGATAATACTTTTGAAGCAGAATCATTTACAAGTTTTTAGACAAACTTTATAATTGAAATATTGATTAAAAAAACTTTCAAGAAAATAATTTTTCTCATCTCAATAATTCATCCCTCAAGATTTGTTTAAGTAATTCATATTATTAAATCGATTAGTTTAATGCCTTTTGCGAGAATACAAAATGGTTGGATTGACTGACTACTCACCTGCGTTAAAAAATCTATTAAAGAGAAAAATTGATTTATATAACGTTTTTAATCATTCAATGATCAGTTTGTTGTGTACTGAGTTATGTTACGTTGATGGGTTTATAATCATTGTGAGCTTCTCTAATTTTGTTCTGAAGAAGCTCGAAGCAGTTTAAAAATGAAAATATAAAGCTTACATGATTTTAATTGAATGAAGTACTCTTAATACCACAAATATTCCATATATCTAAAGATTGTGTGAATAAATTTAAGTGTTTTCAAACTCTTCAGAATTTAAAAAATTTTTGATGACTATTTGTTCAATGATAGTATTATAAATGGTTTAATCAAATATAGGATAAATGATTATTGAATCAAACACAAATTTGACCTATCAAAACTCTCGTTTTTTTGTTTTTTTTTTATTTATTAACAAAAAAAGCAATTGTTACGATCGATTGAAAGTGTAAAGAATATGTTTAAGTTTTGTTTTGAATTCTGGTGATTTCCTGATCTTTGCCATTGATGTGTTTAAAAAAGCATTCTTTTTTATGAATAGAGCGTAACATATAAGCCGAGATATTCTTAACTGAATGCTAGCTGCTAAGAAAGAGTTCTATAAGTTTTTGAGTACTCTTAAATGTAATCGTTCGATTGTCTTTGTTACTTCAATCGGCAGGATTCTCTCTCTCTTCTTTTTGTTTTTCATGGCTATACCACACACATACAGACACAAAGCGCGTTTTTGATAAAACATCTATGGCGAAAGCGAGTAGTACAAAAATAAATGTTCGTTCTTTCACCTTCTTCTATAGAGAGCGTTTTAAAAACATCATGATGCTTTCTCTCCCTCTCACATACACACACACACACACACACACAACATCAGCCCGATACATACAAGAAACAACATTTACAAGTAGAGTAAAGACGAAGAGAGAAGAAGAGAAGAGGAAAAAAGAAACCTTCATTCGTGTAGCCTATGTAGAAGAGAGAAACATTAACGTATAGAGAGAAGAAAAAGCGCTTGATGTAAGCAAAGGCGTCTTTCGTTTTAGAAATATTTTTTCCTTCTTGTTCATGTGCATCTCTCTACATGTATATGTACTTATTTTTTGTCATAACTAATTTTTTGAAGAACTTCATATTTCTCTATGTGTATACGAGTGTACGGACGTAGGGTGAGAGAACATAAGGCGTTGTCAGTGGAATTTTGTGCCATAGAAGAACAAACTTTCTTACTCCTGCTGTTGCGACGTTTCTTTCGCGTTTCTTCTTTTTTCTCACTTACATTTCTTCTATTCTGAAGTCAACTTTACATCACTGTTTACAAAAGCAAAAAAAGCCCCATATATTGATATTTGATGAATCAAGCTTGTTGTTAATACGTTCTTTATAGATAATTGTGTGTTTTGTAACTTTGATGTGTAATGAATAATCATGAATTTACAACAACAGCAACACTCTTCTTTGTCGAGTAATAGTTCGAATAAACCTGCTCGTCGTTTTCATCAGCGTGCAATGATTTGGGATTTAGAAGAGACTCGTGCTTTATTAGATTTGTTAAAAGATGATAGAATATTTAAAGCAATTGAAAGTGTGAGAACAAGAGAAATTTATCATGAAATATCTGAAAGATTAAAACAACAAGGTTTTAATAGAGATTGGAATCAAATAAGAGGTACGTTTGAAGACTCGATACAACAGCAATGACAACTATTTATTATTTTTATTGTTAAAAATAGGTCGTGTTAAAAATTTAAAATTTTCCTATAAAAAAGCTCGTTCACTTCATGAAGAGCAAGGACAATCAACTTTAACATGTCGTTTTTATGATGATTTACATTATTTGTTCGGGCATAAGTATAAAAAACAACGAATATCACTTCAACATACTCAACGTTTTCATCATTCACAATCTCAACAACACCGTCGAATACCATCTACTACTACTCAAGATCTTGATGGTGATCAAGATTTGTTACCAATCGTTATTGAAGATATGACAACCGATTTAAGTGAAACATCATCATTGAATAAAGGCGGGATAGACTTACTAGATGAAAACAAAATTGATATAGATGATAATGATACAGATATACAGGATGATCAAGACTTAGAACAAGAGCAAGACCTTGAACAAGACGATGAATATGATGAGACACATGGGACAGATAATAATTCTTATTCATCACTGAATTATATACAACGAAAGGATTTACACCATAGATATCCAATATTAGCCACCACATATCAAAATAATAGTACAGCAGATACACACGGTAAAAGCAGCTGAAAAAAAAAGAAATTAACTATAAGAAACTACCACTTGATGAGAAATGGTGAAAAAAAATTGATATAAAGATTAATCTCATATTGTTCACCTTACAGATGTTTTTGAAAAATTCTTAAAACATTAGATTTTCTCTTAAAAAAAACAAAAGAAAAAAAAGTACTCTTGGAACTAATTTGCTATTTTCCACTGTACGATTACTTTAAGAGTATCTCTCGATATTAAATATTTTTTCTCTCCCGTTACTATGTGTAGTTGTTGATAATGGTGATACAATACCAATGAATGGAAATGGCATTACTGGTAATGATCCAAATGAATTGGATGTGTATATAAAACAAATGCCATCGTATAAGCATCAAGCCTATTTAATGGATGATATTCTCAATACTGTTATGGATAAATTTATTTCGTATCAAAAAGAATTTGAACTACGATTTATACAATTTCAACAAGATCAAAAGAAAGATGATCAAGAACGAGAAGAACGTTTGAAAAAAGAACAACGTGAACATGAGTTACATGTTATACAATTAATTATACAACAAACAAAACAAGAACAAATTGAGCAGCAAACTTCAGGTAAAAATGTGGTAATAGCTAGTTTTTGTAATTACGATCAAGAGTAAATTAAATGTAAAAATATACTAAAATCTCCTATTAAATTGAGAAAGTGAAGATTCAAAAACAGATGTAATTAGTCTAAGTTGAACTAACGTAGAATCGATACTCGTAAACCACTGATAAAGTGTAGAAAAACGTTGTTTCTGGTATAGTTTTCGGTTGTGAAGTGGTATAATCAAGAATTATTTATTGTTGTTTATAAAATATGCAATACTTAAAGTATGCACATTTCACTCAAATTTTTCAGTGTCTTTAGAGATAATGGTTTTCGTCATTTTTTTTAGCCTATTCATTTTTTTTGTGTTATTTTATTCTTCGGCATGAAAGTAAAAAAAATATGATGCTAGGAATAAAATTATCTGTGAATGAGTGTTAATAATAGATATAAAAATAGTACATAATAGAAATAGAGATCGTGATATGGCCATTGGCTAAGTTTGTTATACATTTGTTTTTCTTATGATTTTTCTTGCATTCTCTATTCCTCTTTTGTCACTGATACACAGTGATTGCTTCTTTTGTGATTGATATTGAGAAAAAACATGATTAAAACTCAACAGTGTTATAATAATAAACGTAAGGATTTTTTTTCATCAAAACAAATGGTAATTATTTTGTTCTATCAATTATTGGTGTCATTATACCATACTTGTTCAATGTCGTCAATGAATTTATTACTATAACTACTATTGCCATCCAATTATCAGCGTATATACAGTGAAGACACACATGTAAAACTAGAAATTATTTATTTTGTTATTATTACAGTTCGATGACGTCAAGAAATGATACTCATAATTTTCTAAAAAATACAAACTGATAACACTACGCAGCAAACACAATGTTCTTTAACATTATTGAGATCAAATTTTGTTCATCGTTGCAAAGTTATTAATGATCAACAAAGTACCGCAATTGATTTTGAAAATCAAGAACGAGAATGTGAACAATCATTCGGCCTATTTGAATATAAAATCAAACATTTTAAAACTTATCCATCATAAGAAAATATCGTTAAAAAGATAATAAATTCACTAGTAAACGGTTACCAATGAAAACATCCTGTAACAGTAGTAATATTTGCATTCAATTAAACAAAATATTAATATCAAAGACAAAATTAAATGGTACGAGAACAATGTTTGCTATGAAAAAAATAATCTCCTAAGTTAAATAAGTTTATGAAAATCGTTTATTTGGTTTGGCTTTCATTTTTGAACAAAAACTTGGTTATACATTATGGTATCTGCCTTATGGGGAAAAAGAATGGAAATGAAACGAAAGTGAAAGTGAAAAAGCTGAACAGTTAAAAAGAATAGTATAATCTATTCTAATTCTAAATTATATATCAGACAGTCTCTTAAGGGTTTCTGCTTTTTAGTAAAGAATGTGAAAGATCATTGAATTATTATATAAAATCTAAGAAACACGCTATCATTTTATTCTATCAGTAAGTGCATGCATGAATTCTTTAAAATAAACGACTGTTATAAATAAAAGAATGAAAGATTTTTAAACGGTGATGTTTTATTTTATATAAAAATCTGTTCAAATTATCATTAGACGATAAATTCATATAAATTTTTAATCTTTCTTTTTTCAAATGACTATTGTTATTATGGATATTTAACGTGATAATATAATTATTTATTCTAGTATACATTTAGAAATGAAGAATTTCTTTAAAAAAAAAACTTGTAAATGAATCTTTATCTCTTGTTTTTCTATAGGTCGATCGTACTTGACGGGTGAACAGGGCTATTTTCCCTTGAAAAATGTACGAAAAACATCGGAAACAGATACTTGGACGCTGCATAAGTATGTAGATGTATGTTATATACTAAAATGAAAAATTCTCATACTATTTTTTATGTTAGATCTTGTCCGTTAGCTAATATTAATTCCATTGATAATAATAATGTAGAATTTGATAATACGGCTAGTGTCAATGATGAACTCAATACAAGTGTCAATCAAACAGAATCATCTTTGTCATCAACAGCCACTATTGCTAGTAGTACAAACAATAGTAACGATAATAATAACAGTTCTGCTATTGTCACCACTCAAAATTCAAATAGTACGAACAGTCGACGAATATCAACCAAATTATCATCAGCATCAAGATTAAATTTCAGATTAACTGTAAGTAAAAAGATGTTTAGTTATTAAAGGACAAATAAGGTTTTTAGCAGTCTCAATTTTGACGAAAAAAAGTGTTTATCACTTGTTAAAGGTATGATGGAATATTTTAGAGTAGATAATACAAATAGAATGCCTGATAGACGGAAGCTTTACTATTGCTTTTATTTTAGAATGGTCGTATAAATCATAGTGATGTACTTCCCACAAATCCATCTGCAAATCCAGGTGTTATTCGTTTATTTTGTGTTAGACATGGTGAACGCGTTGATTTTGCCTTTGGACCCGCTTGGCCGGAGCAGGCATTTGATAAACTAGGTAATAAACATCTATAATTATCTTTGTTTTAATAGACTCTAATTCTTTCTTTCCTTATTTATAGGCAATTATCAACGAATGAATTTAAACATGCCAGTAACCGTGCCTAAACGCCGTAATCCTTGGCGTGATTTTCTAGGCGATTCACCAGTGACAGAAATAGGCATGGCACAAGCACGTTTAACAGGTTAATTCCAATTTCTGATGTATGACCATTTTTATTGTGGATATTAGGGCTGTTGATCAAACAAATTTTCCGACCATGTCCATTTATTAGTAATCACTTCTTTTTCCTACTCTCAAAAATTTTTTCCGAGCGGTTGCATTAACATTCTACCATATATGATCGTAGACATCATCTGTCGTCCTTGACACGCTAAGTATATTCTGAAAAAGTTTTCTAGCATATCTTACGTTTAATTTTTTTTATTGGATTACATCCATAATCCGTGCTAGTGAATACTTCATAATTGAGATGTTTGACAATTTCATTTATTTTAGGTGAAGCACTTGCTCAAAATGATTCTCTTGTGCAATATTGTTATACATCTCCCGCTCTTCGTTGCATTCAAACAGCTCACTGTATTCTTGAAGGTTAGTGACTGTTGTTCGTATCATATGGTTTTGTAAATTACTCTTTTTTTTTTTGTTTGTAAATAGGAATGGGTATTGAAGACAGAGTTAAAATTCGTATAGAACCTGGTTTATTTGAATTTCTTGGCTGGTATGAACGAGGTTTACCAACATTTTTAACATCGGATATGTTACAAGAACACTTGTTTAATATTGATAAAAATTATCGACCAATAATCAGTGTAGAAAAATTGAGTCGTGATGAAAAATATACCGACTATTATAATCGATCGTTTAAAATTACTCAACAAATAACAGATAAACATAAACTAACGGGTAAGAAGAGAACCACAATTTTGATTTTGAACACAACTATTTTATTTTCGACTAAAGATACGCTTGTGTAATTTTATAAAATATTTGAAACGACGTTAAAATATAAGTTTAGATTGTCTAATAAGATATTCTTTTTCAATATGTTATTATTCAGTAAATTTCATAATTAAACTTATATTCTGTCTTTTTGTTTAGGTGCAACGCTTTTATTTGTTGGTCATGCTGCTACATTAGAAGTTTGTACTCGTCAATTATGTAGTCAAACGCCTCGTTCTTATCAAGATTTTAACGGTGTTATTCGTAAAGTATCGTATTTGGGTATGAATTTATGCGAACGAAATCCAATGGATGGTACATGGTCATTGAAAGAACCAACAATACCTCCTCTTCAACATTCCAATAATATTTTATTTGATTGGAAAACAATGAAATCGACTTGACAAAAAACATTGTCTTCCCGTTTTTCTCAGATGTCACGAAAAGATCTTAAATATTTTTGTTTGTTTCTTTATTTTATTCATTTTTCTTTTCTACGTCGTATGTGTGTTAGTGAATAAAAAAATTGGAAATAAAAATACTTAACTTTGTTCTGTTTTTCCACAAAATTTTCGTACAGAGATGTTTTTTTTTTGTTATTTTGCTTTTGTCCCTATTTGTTTTTCTTTTATCACTAGTACGTTAAAGTGAATAATAAAGAACATTAAGAAGGTGAATCTCCTAAACGTCGACCGATAGACGTGAGTTGGGGAAAGAAGAAATATAAACTTTTTCTGTCGGAGTTATAAGCGTGATGTGAACGTGTATAATGAGATGAATAATAATCTTATGTATGCTTCATCATTGATGATGCTTGATCTCTGTGTTATAGACATCTTTTTACAGATATTGGGAAGGAGCAGAATGTCATAACGCATGAGGAGAGAGAAACATTAATACACCAAGATCAAAGATAAATATAGACTTTTGCATATCTTTTGGCTTATCCTGTCATCATTTGAACTAGACTTTATCATCGTGAAGATTATGTAGTGCGGAAGTAGTCTCTCTTTATCACACAAAGGAGTAGATTGCACTTGTTATAAAAGGTTTTTAGCTAGAAATCTTTCGTTTACAAGCCGTTCACAGGCTTGTAAACGGAGTCTGTAAGAATCATTCGTTTTCTAGGCGTTTTCAAGCCAGATTCCTCACAATTAAGGTGAATGCAATCATTCACAGGGCCCTTCAGTTGAAAGTTTTTTTTGCACTGGGCTAACATGTGTCATACGCCGGATATCTACGAAAGCGTACCCCTAGGTCAGTGTAGACGACAACGTTGTGTTTGTTCATACGACTACGTCATGTAGTGCTGACTACGTCGCCTTTGTTCATACGAGTAAGCCATGGCTACCAACCTAATGCCAAGTAGTCAGACATCACATTCCAATGCTGACCTGAGTAGCCAGCGTACAACAGGCGTACAACCAATAGCTCTGCGAACCCATTCCTATGCGTTTTTCGTACTTTTCTCAGAATACAACAAGTTTGAAAGAAAGTCTTATATACTTACCATTCGATGCAGCTTTAAACGGCGAACAAAACTATCTATTGCTCAACTGTTATGTGCATTGCGAATACCCACATTTTTGGAATATTACTGTTAAAAATGACCTTTTCAGCATAGTTCACGCTAGTATTTCAACTTTTTTATCGTCAGAGAGCGGTCTACATCGTATATCGAAAGAAAACTCCTTCAAAACTCTACAAAATGATGGGTAACTCGTTTCTAGTTGGAAGTGCGAACACTCACCTTTTGAAAATTACTACTAAAGAGTGATGTTTTCAAGCATATAGACGGATAATGTTTCTGTGTTTTTACCATGAAACAACCTAGGTTGCGGTCTACATCACACAGTAAAACCTCTATTAGTGAACACCTCTGTAAAGTGAACATCTACTCAGTGAACATGCTCTCAGGTCCGATGGAGCGATTTTTGCTGGAAATGCATCTCTCTAATGTGAACACACGTGCAATGTTTCTCTCTCTACTGTTTATCCTCTGTCGCTGTTGTACTAATACTAACTACGCTTTATGTACTAAAATCGACTACTGTACGTATGAAAAAAAGTTAATATTAGAATCCAAATTAACTAATGTTTATTTTGATTCAAAAACAAAAAGGCAAACAACATCAGAGGATTTTTTTGAAAAAAATTAAGTTTTGTGTTGTAATTGAAAAATATTTCAATTCAAATATATTTCAATGAACAGAAATGAACAATATAAGCCCGTACTTA